TTGCTCGGGGATGTAGGGGGGTAGTTAGGAAGGCCAAGGCAGAGATGGAACTGGGACTAGCTTCCCAGATTAAGGACAATAAGAAGTCTTTTTTTAAATACATAGGGGGTAAAAAGAAGGTCCCAGGTAATGTGGGGCCCTTGCAGGACGCGTTGGGAAACTTGGTCGTCACACCAGATGACAAAGCTAACATGTTTAACGATTTCTTTGCCTCCGTCTTCCTAAGTAGGGACCAGAACAGCAACCTCCCAGCTGGGCCCCCTTCGGGCCCCGGGGGAGGCACACCTGGGCCAAGGGTTAGCGAGGACTTAGTAAGGGAGCTTCTGGAGGGGCTGGACGTATTCAAGTCAGCCGGTCCGGATGATCTCCACCCTAGAGTTCTAAAGGAACTGGCCGAGGTCATTGCAGGTCCCCTGGCACGGCTTTACGAGCACTCGTGGTGCACTGGAGAGGTGCCGGAGGACTGGAAGAGGGCCAATGTGGTTCCAATCTTCAAAAAAGGGAGGAAGGAGGACCCGGGAAACTATAGGCCAGTTAGTCTTACCTCGATCCTAGGCAAGCTGTTTGAAAAAATAATTCTGGTGCACATCCAGGAGGGGCCAGTGGGGGACTGCATGCTTAGGGGCAATCAGCACGGGTTCATCAGTGGCAGGTCCTGTCAGACCAACCTGGTGGCTTTTTATGATCAGATCACCAGATCATTAGATGCAGGGGTAGCAGTGGACATAGTCTTCCTGGACTTCCGGAAGGCTTTTGACACTGTCTCTCACCCCGTTCTCATTAAGAAAATGGGAGGCTGTGGCATAGACACCCACACAGTCAAATGGGTCGCCAACTGGCTGGAGGGCCACACCCAGAGGGTGGTAGTGGATGGGTCCTTCTCAACCTGGAAGGACGTGGGCAGTGGGGTTCCGCAGGGCTCGGTCCTCGGGCCCGCACTGTTCAACATCTTCATCAGTGATTTGGACGAGGGGGTAAAAAGCACCCTGTTCAAATTTGCTGATGACACTAAGATGTGGGGGGACGTGGGCACACTAGAAGGAAGCAACAGGCTACAATCAGACCTAGACAGGTTACAAGGGTGGGCGGATGAGAATAGGATGGGTTTCAACACAGACAAGTGCAAGGTGATGCACCTGGGGAGGAACAACCGGCACCATACCTACAGGTTAGGGAACTCCCCTCTTGTCAGCACGGAGGCGGAAAAGGATCTTGGAGTCATCATTGACTCCAAGATGAACATGGGTCGGCAGTGTGGGGAGGCAGTTAGGAAGGCCAACCGTACCTTGTCATGCATCCACAGATGCATCTCGAGCAGGTCCAGAGAGGTGATCCTCCCCCTTTATGCGGCACTGGTCAGGCCGCAGTTGGAGTACTGCGTCCAGTTCTGGGCGCCGCACTTCAAGAGGGATGTGGACAGCATGGAGAGGGTCCAGAGGAGGGCCACTCGCATGATCAGGGGACTGCAGGGCAGGCCCTATGAGGAGAGACTACGGGACCTGAACCTGTTCAGCCTCCACAAGAGAAGGCTGAGGGGGGATCTTGTGGCCTGTTACAAACTGGTCAGGGGGGATCAGAAGGCATTGGGGGAGTCACTGTTCCCCCGAGCACAGCCAGGAGTGACCAGGAACAACGGTCACAAGCTAGCAGAGGGTAGATTTAGGTTAGACATCAGAAGGCGCTACTTCACGGTCAGGGCGGCTAGGGTCTGGAACCAACTTCCAAGGGAGGTGGTGCAGGCTCCTACCCTGGGGGTTTTTAAGAAGAGGTTAGATGAACACCTTGCTGGAGTCGTTTGACCCCAGTACTCTTTCCTGCCATGGCAGGGGGTCGGACTAGATGATCTGCTCAGGTCCCTTCCGACCCTAGAAACTATGAAACTGTGAAAACTTAGTGGAAATCTTTGCATTGTGTATTTCAGTGATTCTGGTGCTACTTTTTATATCATGGATCCACAGACCTTTGGAATCAGCAAGCAGGTTAAAATTGTTTTGGCCACTGAAGCTTACTTAGCCTAAGAAGTAAAGCAGTAATGACCTTAAAGCAAAATATAAGAAAAAATATAAGAAAACAGACTAAAATTTCCTAAGAGCAGTATAATATGAGCAATATAATATGGTGAGTGGCTGTATAATGTCACTGATTTTATGAAGAGGCAATCTCTGCATAACAAAAGTTGAAAACAGATTTCATTGTAAATCTCTATTTCCCTTTTCTCAAATTTTAACATAAAAATGAGGAATGGCTTGAAAATTACCATATTTATTCTAAAAACAACAGAAAATGTATTTTCGTAGGCAGTGAGTCAGACTTTCTGTTACAGGTCATTTAAGACTGTCATGATTTGAAATTAGAATTTTTGTTTAATGTTTTTCACCCTTCTAAGATTTCTATAGGATCATAGGAAAGTAAGGCTGGAAAGGACTTCAGACGGTCATCTAGTCCAGCCCCTGCTCAAGACAGGATCATCCCCAGCTAAACCATCCCAGCCATGTGTCCATCTAACCTACTCCTGAAAACTTCCAAAGATATAGATTCTATGTAGTTTAATCTTGACCACTTACATGCTGACTCTGTTTGAAAGCAGATAAAGGTTGCAATTAAGCATAGTTACAATTTTTGGTGTGGATAAATTTGGGTTAGTATTGCTTACAGCTGATGTCGCTAGGAATTCTAACCCTTGACTTCAAGTGCAAGAAATGGGGAGCAAGACAGGAGCCGGTACTTCAACCTTTTCTACAAATTCTTTACCTGTGATATTCTGCTGTTGCTACTAACCTAGTCAGAACTCTGGTAGCCCCTCGGACTGAAGGTGTTGCAAGAATGTATTTGTCTGGTCTTGAGTTGTATTAAGCAGAAAGCAAAAAGAGAGAGGAAAGAGGCAAAAGAATTATATTTGGTTTGCTCACTTTGTCTGATTCAGTCAAAACATCTTTCAGTATCAGGAACGTGGAGTGGATGGCTCTGGAATGGAAGGGAGCATGGATTGAAAAGGAGATGCCAGTTAAGAGATAAGCAGATCAGAGATGGAACTCTTGGGGTATGTCCAGATGAGCGCAGTTGGCAATATGTGGTGCTGCAAACTTGGCTACAGCATCATATACTGCACAGTCAGCCTCTCCTGCCACCCTTGGGGTAACTTGCCACGTGCCAAAGTGTGTGTGGCATGGGCATTCCCTGGGGACAAGTAGCTGCGGCGCAAGGTGCATCACTGCTACTTGTCTCCAGGGAACCAAACATCCGCGCTTGTCTGGACACAGACTTGGACAGTGAACTAAAGGACTGAGCTGGCAGAAGGCATTGTCAGATCTAACTGCTTTTGGATCTAACTGTGCTGATCATGGGATACATCTCTGCTAGAATCCCCACTATAGTTTAGTATCTGTTTAGTTATAAAACAAAAATGTATTCTTTTCCAAACTCAGTGTAAAGGCCCTCATTTAATGTATTTCTGTAGTTTGTGTTTTTTGCTTATTTGTAGATCAGAATTTAATTGGTTTTTCTTGTAAATCCTCAGTGTGGAATTGAATTTGTTTATGCTTTCTTTCTGGTTCTGTTTTAATCCAAGATTGAAGGCATAGTTGCTTTGAGGAAAGGAGAAGGTGTGAAAAGGGTATGAGAGTGCTGTGAGGTATACTAGCCCACAGTTTACAAGATCTTTGTTCTGTTTGAGGCTATTATTTTTAAAAAAAACACATAAAAGTTTGGTAGAGAAAGTTGAGTAGCAGATATTATTTTCAGATCAAGATGATGTTGCTTCCAGGTGAATATTTTTATTGATCAAATCTTTTCCATTGTTGTGTTCACTATGTAACTGGTGATTTTACCAATTTAATTCTTTGTTAATTTTCAACACATCTTAGATCATGGCCTTAAAGCCTCACTGCTGCTACAGCATTTGGCTTAGTTCTGGTATATGATCACACTCGTAAGTAAACAGCTTGAGATATCTGTATTCAGGAATCCTAAGCAGTGAATTGTATCCATAGGGTAATAGATATGTGAAGTAAAAGCTATTCTTACTCTTCCCATAATCTTGGTTCTTCTTTATTTTCCCTTTGTTTTAACATGGAGGTTCTTAGCCTTGGAATCTGCAGATAGGATTGAAGCAGCAGTCCCAACCACTCCATTTATTCTAATTTCTTAGTTTTTCTTCTTTGTTTTTTAAATGTAGGTTGCTGAGGTAACTTGATGCTGCTAATGGAGCATTTTTGCTTTGGAATTTGCTGCTGTTCTTCAGCTAGGTGCCCATCCTATTTTTTTTTTTTTCAGTCTTCCTGCTGTGCTGGGACCTGCCTGTTACCTGCTTGTGATGCTCCAACGTTTGCCTCAAGGGAGGTTAATTGGATTGCAGTCCATGGTCTCTGCTCTATTCTTTAAAGCCAGAAAGCAGGGCAGTCCTAAACACCATCTGTTTCTTCCCTGTCCTGTAAATCTGCTTCATGCATCCTGACTTTCCTCTCTAGTGAACTCAGACCAAAACACACGTCAGCAGGCTCATGACATAACACAGTACTTCAAAGGAGTTGTTGCAATAGCTGGCAAAGGAGTCTGGGGTACACATATGGATTTTAAATGGATTGAGCACTGAGCCACTTGGATTCTTCTGGTGAAAGCGTGTGTGTTTACAGAATCAGGCTGTTTTATTAATGGCAGTGTTGTAAACATGGCAACCTTCTGCAGATGCTTTTCTTATTGTGAGTAGTGAAAGATGCCAAACCTCATAACTGGGAAAATGCTGACTGAGCCCTGTGTTATCAAAGTTTTATAGTGAGATCAGTTGCTGGCAGTCCAGTTAAAGCCCCATACACTTCCAGTGATATAGTAAGATAACAAATTCATGACATGGGTGCAGATGCTCAAAAGCAGATGTTTAGAAGAGTTCAAGAGATTCAGTACTTAATGCAAATGGGATGATATTACGAATGTGCCACCTCTTGCATAACTTTTAACCTTTGTTCATTCTGAACAGGAATGCTCCATATATAAAGCCTGTCTTTTTAATTCTCCACTACACAGGGAGGGAATACCATCTGTAGATATTTACACTGATAGTGCTGAAGCTGTGACAGGAAAAACTAACAACTTTATCACTAAGTATCTAGCTTTTTGCACATGAGACTATTTAGGTACATCATCCAATTCACCAGCAGCAAAGTTGTAAGGAGGACTGAAATGTTTTGTATTTTATTCACCTTAATCCCATTGCATTATTTTTCTCTACTTGATGCAAAGAAATGTGAACTGAACATTAGAAGTTTCTCTTGAAATTGAATGTCTTGGTTTCCACATGGCAAAATACTGAATTGCTAAATGTGATCCTGCTTTGCAGAATACATCTCTGACTTGTCTTGGCTTTCTCAGAATGCTTTTTTTCAGGGATAGCATATGACACAGATTCTCAGCCTGGTGGTCACAAGCAGATATCAAGGGGTCTTAATCATCTTGACCCTTCAGTATTGCTAAATGAGAAGAGGACCTCAGGGAGGAGAAGATCTCAGTATGGTGTGAAAAAGAGATTCTTACGTGAAGAGTTTAGCAAACCACTGTTCTCATATATTCATATCCTCAGCTATCTCAATACCTGGCACCACTCACAATATTTTTATAGTTTCAAATTAGCAAGCTTTTATTATATTGTTTTTACTTCTTTTCTGTAAAAAACTTAATGGTCTGAGGAAGGTGTTGAAAATGTGGTATTCAACATCCAAATAGTGAAAGAATGTCTTTTTTTAGAAAATATGAAAACCCAAATTGCATGTTGCATAGTAATGGTAGGGGGATTGCTAAATCAAAGGTGTACATGAAGTATGATTCTTGTTTGTCTGTCTTAAACAGGCTAATGCAATTGGTCGCAATGCTAAAGCTGTGCGAGAATTTTTGGAAAAGAATTACAAAGAAGAAGCTATAGCAACTGACAGGGAAACTATCAAATTAGCAATAAGAGCTTTGCTAGAAGTAAGTGATCCAATTCAATTTTACAATAAAGCTTTAGAGAAAAGCTTGTATTTCTTCATGTTATGAAAACAAAATGTTTTGTAAACATACTTGTTTTGATGTTCTTATTGTACACTAGGTTGTGCAGTCTGGTGGAAAAAACATTGAACTTGCCATAATCAGAAGAAATCAACCACTGCAGGTATGATTTATTGATTTAATAGGAATAAAAAGATAACTTCTGACAAAAATGATTCTAGTTGACACCTGTGCATTTCTGCTTGATGTATGAAGTGTCCCCTAACATATGGTGGTAAAATGTTATGTGACTTCTGTTGTGTCCCTGTAGATTGATAGTGCTGTGAGCTATAGTAGCTGCTGCTAATTTATAATATACTATAAGAAACTGTGTTGGGGATTTTCAGTGGGGAAAACAGTTTTGAGGAAACATGCAAAAGTGCGTGTGTGTGCACATGCTAGGGGGAGAAAAATACTATTTTAAGTTAATTGTTGAAAAATAAAAGTAACTTTTATTATTGTGCAGTTATAGAGAACCATTTTTACAATGTAATGCTTCCTAGAAACACATTGTGACTTCTTCATAGCTGCTGTTTTCATGGAAAAGACAGACTCCTGGCTCAAAAACGTAAACTGAAAATAAGACTTATGCTGCATTTCATTTCGTTTGCAGCGAACAACTCCATTTTTAATTCTTGACATACATGCATACATAATCTTTTTCTAAAGAAACTTAAATAATTACTTGAGCTGTCTAAAATGGTACTGAGATGTAAAATTTAGTCTTTAGTTCCAAATGCCAAGGTCTCTTTGGAATATTGGAGCTTTCAGTTATTTCTGCTGTACCTTGAAGAAACTCAAATCTAGAGGCAAATCTTGGCAATGCAGTCAAAAGATTTTGACTGATTAAGATAAACGATGGCTTGTCCACTGACTAAATATATCTTCTGCAAAATGGCATTCATCATTGCAGCCTGAGCAGCTCATCTTCCTTTCTTGCAGTCAGTGTCACAGCGTGTAGATAAAGAGACTGCTTCGTTCAGTCTCTTGCTAAATTTGTATTGGTCCTTGCTTGCCCACACATAACAATTACAACAGCTGCTGCCCTTTTGAAATGTTCCCTTTGAAATCACTACAGATTTACTTGTGTCCAGAGAGAGAATCTTTGCGAAATTTTCCACAAAGTTTCTCCAGTATTATTCTGTCATGACAGGACAGAGTATCCCCCAAAATAAATTGTGGAACATCCCTGCTAATCTCTGCAATGTTTTTCTCTAGCCTTTGAGATATCCTGGAATCCATGGATGGCAAGAGCCATCCTTGGCTCCTGCTTTATTCCTATGGGATTTTAAAGAATTAATTCCCTGCACTTTGTTACTGAGTATTTGATTTGCATGGTTTCTTGATAATATATGGTAATGATGCAAGTCTCTTTTTAAAAATTGATTGAATAATTTTGGCTTTTTAAAATTGACCACTACTCCAGCAGGAAATTCTGAATACTGAAGTTTATTTATACTAACAACATAGATGGTTGCCCTAACTTCTGAATCCTTTTGGCTGAAGTTAAGAAAATTCTAATTTTATATGAAAAGGGAACCAGATGATTAAAAAAACAAAAGAAATCATATAAATAGAAGTTCAAAACAAACACTTTTTCATCCTCTAGTCCTGTTTTTTCTCTAGGCACAGAAAAGTGACCTCCTTTATTCCTATTCTTACTGGTCAACAAGTTTCATACTGTTCGTACTATTATTATTCATACTGGTTTTCTTGTCTTATGAAAACCCTTATACCTCTCTCTTCATGTTATTAGTTTATATTGGAAGAATCCCAACCTCTCCCCTAAATCCCAGTTCAGTAATGGATAAGTAGCCATGCTGATTTTTTTTTACCCTAAATAATACTTTTTTATACATTTTATAATATTTGAACCTCTATATTCTCTAGCTGTAGGACTTAGTCATACAAAAGACTGAGCTTCAAAAAAGAAATCTGCCATTTTATTAGTTAATTACTTTTCCCCAGTCAAAATACATTTAGAAAATAGTTTCTTGGGCATTGCAGGTAGCCAAAACACAGTTCTCTGCAGAAGAGAGAGGCTTTGTAGCAGGATACTGAGTGAACATGTGACTCCCCTTTGAAGATGTCATGCACAACACATTCCAAACCACAAGGTTTGTAAAAATGTTTTGATCTGTAGCACAGTAAGCCACCCAACAAGAAATGCTGAAGTTTGAAATTCTTTTGTCTCTTGGACTCAGGCTAGGGTCTATATGAAACAAATTCATACCACAAACTGCCACATAGGCGTATGCACCTAAATCATCCTTTCATGTAGACATGACTGGCTTGCTGTCTTTGAATCATATCTATCAGTGGTGATGATGTGTGCCTACCTGACTTTCACATTGTAGCTGAGTGTTTAGAGCATTTGCCCAGGAAGTGGTAGACCTGGGTTGTAGATCTGTTTCAGCCAATGAGCATTCAGACTCCTCTTTCTGATCTTTCAGGATTATGTTCTCGCTACCAGTCCTAGTCTTCACCCTTCCATAGAAGTTGGGCCACAAGAATCCAGAACAAGAGTAATCAAGATGGTGTCTGATTCACTAGGCCAGTGATGAGGAGCTTGCTATCAGAGGGGGAAAGTCCTGGGTTCTGGTCCCTGTTCCCAAGAACATTTTATGATGACTACTACAAAATACATACCAGTTGGGAACGGGGATCAGAGCTCAGGATTTACACATTCTCAGCACCCTCAGCTTTGCTCAGACTATCCCAGCCTAGCCTGTAGCCAGATGGTTGTGGCAGTCTCCTGGGACAAAATAAGGGTTTCAGTCCAAGCAGGCTGAAGAATCCTGTAACCTAGGACTCCCACTTTCTTGGTGACTGCTCTAGCCATTAGGCTATCATGTAAAAGGTGGACACACCTGTTCTTCCCCCCAAGGATGCTGAACATGGTGGTGCTGTTAGTCAGTGTTAACTGTCTTCACAGAATGCTGACTGAGTTGAACCTCACCAGGGACTTAAGTACATGGCTGCTTAGTTTGTGACTTACTGGTAGTGTGTGTTCATGGGTGTGTATGTTTAAAAACAAACAAGCAAACAAAAGAAAGCCCGTTGAGTTTTCTTGCCAAGTGGAATTAAAAATCCTTCTATCAGATGAGTGCTATCCTTTATTATATGAAAGATTTCTTGTGTTTTGAGCAAAGCTTTTCTTGAGCTTAATACGAGTATCAGTGTTCTTCTGATAGCTGACTGTAAATGGTGCAAGTTCTTCCAAGTATTACTGAAGGATTGGTTCTTTGCCTACATTTATTTAACTATCAGGCTGACCATGAAAGTTCAGAAAGACTTGGTCAAGCCCTTGAACTTTGCAATGTTTTATGTATGATATCTTTTCTCAACACATTTTAAATAGTGCTTTAAATTCCTACAAATGAAAAGTGTAGGATAAGTGTTTTTCTTTTGCTCCACTTCAGCATTATTGATGTTTATATGATTTCACTAATGCTCTGGTCCCCCCCGTTTTCTTCCAGCTTGGACAGAGTTTGAATTTTTAATCTAAAAATAAGAGAGAAGATTTTTGAAGGGCAGAGAAGAGGGAAATAAAACCATATGATTGTTCTTTATTAGTTATCACAAAGAAATAAAAAGTTAAAATCAATATGCTTTTCTTTGCAGGTCAGATTCAGCGAATTCACCATACTTCACTCATACTTTTGATTGTTTAAAACATGGGGTTGAAAAAGGGGGAGTATAGATCCCTTTTCAGATTCAGAAAACCCATGTTTTCAAATAGTGGTTTATCTTCAAACAGAATGCATGAAAACAAATTATAACTTGCCAGTTTAAGGTTGCTGGCTAGTAGTTCAGCCAGAAATGAGCTATATGCATAATCAAAGACAGGGGGATAGAAAATACAGCTTTTGGCTGTAAAGCCCTATTAAAATGGAACCCAGCAGGAGCTTTCCAGGACGTGGTGCTTCTGGGAATACATGGGGACTGAAAACACATCATCACTCTTTGAAAGAGAATGTCATGCATTACACACATGAAACTGACCCATAATATTCTTTCCTGTTATCTGGGTGATATAACATTCAAAGGAAAAGGTCACCCTGTGCCATAGGCACCCCGCTTTCTAAAGAAGGGGTAGTAAACAAGGCTTTTTTCTTGTATGTACTGTTTTCTTACAGTAATAATGTACATATTTCTAACACCTTTAGTCAGGCTGAAGACTTGAGTAAGTATATATAAGGAATGAAAGGAAATTTATTCCAGCTAGAGGTCTGAATGACTGACTGCTGAATTCATTTAATTGCTAGTGAACAACCCAAGAAAACGAAGCCATCACACAATGTGACAGTCTGCTTTAAAAAATAGTCGAGTTCCAATATGAACGTTAGGTTATCTTTTGCAGCTGGAGTTGAAGCGTTAGTAAAGTTGCTCATAGTGAATTCGCTTTTCACAATATCCAGTTTATGAATTATTTCGGGAAAATGGTCATCCCTAACTGTCTCAACTGATCAGGTTTAGAAACATACATCTGATGTGTGGGTGGACTCAGCTCCTGTTCCTTTTGATTGAAGGTTTCTTTTTTTTTAACCTTAGCGCAGTACTCATGCTGAGTGTTTTAGCTCTTCCTCTCAGGCCTCCTTCTCAGATTGAGGGGATAAAGGCAAAGTGCATACCCTGCTCATCAGCTCCTCTCCACCACCTGGCTGAGTTGGAGTACTCTTCAGCCATGATTGCCCATAGATTCATTGTTAACAGATGCCTCAAATCAGTTGGGCAGCACATGTTGGCAGAATGCAGTTTAGCCCCTCATATGGCCCTTAAAGTTAATGTGCTCAAGCTGAGAGCAGTCAGACAGACTTTGATAGTGTTCCTACCATCCATCTGGAGAGCTTCTACTTACAAATGTTGATGGACAGTACTACATCTATCAATTCTGTAAGCAAGTAGGAGGCACTAGGTCCTCCGTATTCAACAAGGAATATGTCCAATTTTGGCAATTGCCATTTCATCCACATTTCAGGAGTTCACCTGTATGGCCTTCACAGTGAGACAATGGATTTTTTGAGCACAGTACATCACAAATGGGAGAACAAAGACTCTGCTCTCTCCCAGCTTTTTCCTAGTGGAAGGTTTTCTGGAAATAGCCTTGTTTTGTGATGAGGCAGAATACAAAGTATCCATTTTTCTACGCCGAGGCAGGCCTCAATCTGGGCTGCTTTTCCAGTGCCTTTCGGGTGCTGTACTATAAGGGCCTATTGTATTCCTCTACTAGTTATAGAAGTGGAATAAGACTGAGCCTGAATCATTCTGAGAGCACCAGCCTGGCCTAGAACATCTGGGTTTCAGGATTTTATGCTCTTATCAGCACAGGTTTGCATTCTTCTACCCCTGCTCCCTAACCTGCTCTTAGAATGATGACTGAGTACATCACCAAGACCTATGGTCAATCCGTCTGACCACCTGGATCCTAGATGGCTCTGACAGCTAGCATATGTCTGGTCCATCCCCACTGGGAGCACCCTAACACATATCAGGAGGGCATCTGCAACATGCACCTACTTTTTCATTATCTTCATGGTGTCTAACCATGCCATCAACTCCAAATATCCTAGACTCTAGACTACCTTGTTGGACCCAAGGGCCCCTGATATCTCTCCTTTAAGCTTTTGTTTCCAGCTAAAAGCTGGCTAGTTTTCTTTCACGCTGTCATGCTGAAGCTTCTAAAAACTCTGGCATATGCCTTCTAGTGCACCAAGGACCCAATTCCGCAATACAGTCTGAACCTTGTCACTAATGCCTTTACCATTTAAACCAGCAGTCAGCAATCTTTAACAACTTGTTAAAGATTCACTGCTACCTGTCCTCAGTCTGGGCACAGGCACAAGCAAAGCCCTTAGACTCCACAAACCAATTTTAATGGCTCCATGGGCTGTATGTTGCCAACCCCTGTTGAAGCCAGTGGCATCTTCCACTCAATTCAGTATATGTCTGTGAAAATGGTCTTCTAGTTTGGTGGACTTAATCACCACCAAGTTAGTGAGATCCAAGTCCTAATGTATAGGGCAAGCCCTTGTATCGGCAAGTCCTCTGTATAGGACCTTCTGTACCCATCTCAGATTCCTGCCAATTCCACCTCAGCCAATAAATTCTGTGATTGGTCTTTTTCCCCAAAGCTGCATGATTTAGAAACTGAGGCTGTTCTTCACAGTTTGAATGTGAAGAGGGCTCTGATATATTTTTTGCACAGGACTAAACTCTTTTGGAGGTTTCCACCCCATTTGTGGCTATAGCCAGGAGATCCAAAAAGTCAGTTATTTCCTCCTGAAGTCTTTCCAGCTGGGTTTCCAGTTATACTAGACCCATTGGCTAAGGTTTTTCCATAATGTGAGTACGCTCCGCAAGGGCTCTGGCTACCTCTGCTGCCTCCCCCTTCATGCTGTCTGCATCAAACATTGGCAGAGTACTAACATGGAGCGCAGACTATACTTTCATTAAGCCCTATACAGTTGCGGAGGATTCTCCAAATGATATCAGCTTTGTTAGAGTGGTACTCCAGGGAATCTGTGCCCAAAGAGACTCTTGAGTCTCATCTCCAGGTGTTTGTGGGCACTGCTTTTGGAATCACCCGCAGGTGAGAGTGTCTGTATGTGAGAACAACTATTCAAAGGAGAAAGGAAAGTTACTTCCCAATAATTGGACTTCTTTTGAGAAGAATTATCCATGTGCACTTTTGAACCTTGCCTTCCTCACCCTTTTCCTTCAGTCTCTCTTTGAAACTCTCCTGTGTTTCCTGTTAGTTACAGCAGAGATAGACACTCCATCCTTTACCTGGTGGAGGGAAGGGGCTGAGGTGCTCTTCTGCACAAACTGCTGAGACAAAAATGTGTTTGGTCAAATGGCTTAGTGGCTGAGGTCACCTGTATGGGAGAGTGTGTGTGTGGAGAATTACAGTTACTGATAACTTCCCTTTTTTACTTTAATAAAAGAAAGAGAAAAAAACCAACAAAAGTCCGATTATTGATCTGTAATTCAGATAGTTTTCCAAACTTTTTTAATGCATTAGTAGTACATTTTAGAGTTCTAATACAGAATTGAATTTTACAGATAATACCAGAGCTATTCAACTGCTGGCCATCTTTCCCACTGCCATGTGGTGGGGGAGGACCTTGGCCCCTCGTAGCCCCCAGCCCTACTGACATTGAACAGTCCTGAATTATAGGATTGCATGTGAAATCTGCATTATTTAGTCTTATACTGTACTTTCTCCCATTCAGATTTTTAGTGCAAAGGACATTGAATCACAAGTTGCTGAAATAGAGAAAGAAAAAGAAGAATCTGAAAAGAAAAAGAAGAAAAGTATTTAAATTTCAGCAAAAAGAAGATAGCTGCTATTGAAATGTTTCTGGAGTTGTAACAGCTGCTAATTGACAGTGTTTACCGTTGCTGAATAATCTTATCTATTTAATTATTGAATACATTAGTTTTCTTAAACTGTGTTACAGATGTGTTAAATCCAATGTGCTCGTTGTATTCACCAGCATGTGCATACACGAATATATTTGCATTTTGCTGTTCCTCCAAGTTTAATGTGCATCCAGCATTCAAAGGCATTGGCACATTTCCTGCACACAAATTATCACCAAGCTATTTGGCATATCTCTGTATAAGTTATTTAAAGGTTTCAGGTTTTCTTGTGTAAGTTTTTGCAAGTCTAATATTTGTTTGCTTTTACTAGCGTGATACATATGTAGTCCAATAAAAATTAAGAATGAAATAAAGTTTTGATTTGTTCTGACTGGCTCTTTTGCCTAAGTATTGTTACGTTTGTCCAAACCCTTTGCACAGCTTGCCTCTTTTTGTCTGTCAAAGAAGCCACAGCACATGGATTGGCACTGCTGTCTGGGTGACAAGAGACCCCTTTCCTTTGATCAGTGGTTTGTACCAGATAGGGGATGCTGTTTTTTCTTAGTACATTAGTATTATTTTTAACTTTTTAAAATTTGACAAATCTATCATGCCAGTACTTAATTGAGAACATGTATCTGTACCTAGGTAATCATTTAGTACTAAATGCTTCTTCTCAGGTATATTTTTATTTGTACCTCTCCTGTTATTAGGCACCTTTCAGCTGCCTAATTTCCTTATTCCTGATATTTTTATTTCCCTTCCTTTTATTCTTTATCCTATTTCTCCCTGTTTCTCCTTGTTTACCTTGTTCAACAGTCCTATCCCATCACTCTTGTTCCTCACTTCAAGCCCAACCAGTGAGGGTACTCATGATTCCATCACCTTAATGTCTCAGCAAACTGCATCAGTGGCAGCACCAGGTGGCTTCTTACATCTACTGCAGCAAGAATTATAGGTGTATATCCAGACAGACTTTCTGCTGCTAAGGGCCAGCTGCCCTAGAGTACAGCAGCGTAAACTGTCTTGGCTCACAGCTAAATCAAGCTTCTGATCATTATCTTTAACTCTGAATGTTCATGTGGGTTCTTTAGCTTAGGTCAGAATTTTATGCAAGTGTTGGTTTAATTCTTCTCATGTTGTATTTTTAAACATTTTTTCTGAAGGTAAAGTTACACTGTATTATGGCTGATCTTTTAATCTGATATTTATAAACTTGCATAAATTTAATACTCAGTTTGGTATCTACCAGTCTGACTGTCCAGAAGAGAAGTCCACCTGCATAAGTCAGAACAGGAAACAGAAGCAGCAGAGACAGGTGAGAGAATGTTGTGACATCAGATTTGAAGTTAAAAAGCTGAGATGATATACAAATGGGTAGTTATGCATCCAGCTGGCCATATCTTTGGCATAATACCTGTTTTTCATTCTTCTCTCCATCTTTTTTTAAGACTAAATAGGTGTTGTCTCTTTTGTATGGAATCTCTTTTGTTTCCAGATTTTTCTGCTCTAATTTGCTGTCTCTTTAAGCACTTCTTCCCTAAAGACCTCAGGTTCTCTGGCATGAATTTGGACTGCCACTTAAATCTGGAATGTTGGTAAATCTAGTAATGTTCATTTATTTTTTTCCATAAATATATACTAATTTTAGTTTCTCTAGTGAAGTTGATTCTTCAAATACATTTCAATTTCTTTATTGTTATAATTATGTGCATACATAAAATTAAGTCAGAAGCCCTGCCAAGTCCCCCTCATTTAAAAAGAAAAACTTTAAGGCAAACATTAAGTATGTCTTACTCCAACAAAAACCTTTTCTGTGTGCATTCAATCAAAATTATAAAATATAACTTGTAAAAGGGTCACTGTCAGATTAAAAATCTTAATTTAAATTGTGGAAAACGTTAAGTAATGTGGCAAGTTACTGTCATTTTATCTATGGGGTTGTGAGAAGTAAAACCTATTGGACATGAGACTATGACATAACCTATGAAGGCTCAATAAATGTCTCTGTGTTCCCTAGGAGACACCATGGACCATCAGCTGGGTGAGAAGCAATGGAAGATGGTTTAGATTTGCAGCTTCTGAGAAAGACGTGAGAGCTGGGATCTATAGCAAGACTCTTGTGGCTTAGTAAAGAGGAGTAAAGAGGGCACCTCTAAATGAATATGAAATGAGTTAATTCATGGGTTGTTAATTATTTAATATAATAAAAGGCTTAGTCTGTCTGTCTAACACTTTTGCCCAACTGCACATGTGCGGATTGGCTGAGTTAAAATGGGAGCTCCTCTGCTGGCACCGCTGCCTCCTGCAGCCTCAGGTGCGGCTGCTCCATCCACCCCACCTTCACACGACCAAAAAAAAAAAAAAATTGTCACGAACATGTCACAAGCAGTGGGGACAGCTGAAGAAAGGCAGGCGCCCCTCCACCAGCCCCACCTCCTGCAGCCTCCGGTGTGGTGACTCCCTCTGCCCCATCTCCACAGAGGCAAAAAAAAAAAATTTTGCACAAGCACTTTTCCTCAGCTAGCCCCACTGCTTTTAAAGTGGGAGCCCCTCTATCATAGTGGGGTTGGACCCGAAGGGGCGGGGAGGAGAAGGAGCAAGGTCGGACCCAAACGGAGGTGGGGAGCGGGGTCAGACCCAAAGTGGGTGGAGGGGGATCAGACCTGAACTTGGCGGGGAGGGTGGACCCAAAGTGGGGTGGAGTGGTGTTGGACCTGAAGCAGAGAGGAGGAAAGGAGGGGCAGGGTCAGACCTAAACCAGGGGCAAGCAGGGTGGGACCCAAAGTGGTGGGGGGAGAAGGGGTGCAGGGCCAGATGTGGGGCTCCATCCCTGCCAGCTCCCCTTCCCCTGTCATTCTTGATGGGCAATTTGCTAGTATATACAATAAAGTTCATTCACCAAGCCTGAAGAGGAGTCGGGGTAACTAGATATTCCTGAAGCAACCTATGAAAACCTCCTCCAATATTTATCAACAGCCACTCTGTTGGACAAAAAGGTGCAGTGATACAGAATTTTCAGGTGTAAACATTTGGAGGTTATAGTATTCTGAGTGAAGGCCATAGGAAACTAGGCTTGCAACAAAAATCATATCTTTACCTAGAGTCATAGCGTCATAGAGAAGTATTGCTGGAAGGGACCTCCAGAGGTCATCTAATCCAACCCCCTGCTTTAGGCAGGATCATCCCTATCCAAACCATCCCATCCAAACCATAATGTAAACTCTGCGTAACACATAACCCTGACGCAACACAGACCTAACATCCTAACCTGCCACAGGTAAAGCAGGGGAATCAGAACAGCCAATGTCTTGCTTCTATAAAATGTTGTCAATATATGCTCAAGAGGTCCAGGGTTAGAGGGCCATGCTCCTCCCTGCTATAGAGGAAGACAAAAACCCCCAGTCCATACAAATCTGACCATGGGTTAAAATTCCTTCCTGATCCCAAATATGATCAGTCTGACCCTGAGCAGCAGGGCAAGACCCTCTAGCCAGGAACCTCCAGCTTTGGTCCAAGCAGGAGCATTGGCATACCCCAAAGTCCCAAGCCTTGGCTGTAGCCAACAGCCAGTGCCTCTGGGAAGGCTTCAAAACACCCTGATGTACAAAGAAGAAAAAAAAGTGTGGTGGGGCGGGAGAGGAGAGAAGGGCAGAGACAACCAACAAAGCCCAGAAGCATGGGAACTAGCTAGCCTTAGCTACACCTAGATCATCCCTGACCAGTGGCTATCCAGACTTTTCTTAAACACCTTCAGTGATGGAGAGTCTGTAACTTCCCTAGGCAGTCTATTGCACTGCCTCACTGTTCTAACAGTGAGATTTTTCCAATAAACTTACTTTGCTGCAATTTCAAGCCATTTGTCCATGTCCTCTCTGCAGCAAAAGAGAAAAGATGCTTTCCCTCTTCATGGCAGCCCTTCAAGTATTTGGCTGCTATCGTGTCCCCTCTTAAGCGCCTTTTCGGCAAGCTCAACATGCCTAACTCCTTCAGTCTCTCCTCATATGACTTGCTTTCTGAAGCCTTCATTATCTTTGTTGCCCACCTCTTGACCCTCTCTAACTTCCCATGTCCTTTTGAAAATGTGGAGCCCAGAACTGCACAAACCATGCCAAAAGGCGCCTAACAAGTGCCAAGTAAAGAGGCACTATTACCTCCTGTGTCTTGAGATCCTATCCTCCTTCTGTGTTTAGATCTATCTGAGATCCTATACTTCTTATGAAATCTTAGGCCACTAAAATGGAAACAATTTTAAGAATCCCAAATCTATACTAACCTGATTTATTCTTCATATCTTCTAGCTTGGAAAATGAAGGCTGGCTAATTAAACTGTTCTTTATTATAACTGTGGCTTGACAGTTTTACTAGGGCTGTGCAAAACAGCACCATTCTGTTTCGCCTTGAGTTTTGATGGTTTGGCAGAACAGCGTTCCATTTCAAATTTCATTTTGATTCGAAACAGCTGTTCCATTCCGTTCCATTGAAACAGAAAGGCTGTTTTGACACTGTTTCGAAGTTTCACTGGGGATGGGAAGTCAGCCCAGCTGTGCTGACTTCCCATCCCCTGTGCTAGATCGTGCTGGGGGCAGGAGGCAGTCCAGTTGGGCTGTTTCTGCATCCCCCGTACTAGATTGCGCTGGGGCCAGGAGGCAGCTCAGCTGGGTTGCTTTCCCATCCCCCGTGCTAAATCACACTGGGGATGGGAAAGCAGCCCCAGCCTATGGTTGAAATGTTTCAATTTTCAAAACGTTTCGACTAGCCTCATTTTGTTTCAAGGCTATTTTGATGGCCTTTGTTTCATTCCAATTTTGCTGTTTCAACCTCAACATTCGTTGAAACAGTGTTGGAACAAAACAGCTGGCGAAATTTCACACAGCCCTAATCTTTACCCATAACCATAGGAACTAAACTGTCTAGCCAAAGTGAAAAAAAATATTCCTTTCCTGTGATTTAAAGGAATCACAGGATTGGCAAATCTAGTAGTGGCAAATCTAGCATGTGCATTGACCAGGAGTTTAAGGTCAGTATGGATAAGTGATAGTCTGTGTCAGCTAGGTGAAAAGTTACCTAGTATCCTCAGCTGGAGTTGTCTAGTTCAAGTAGATAATTGTGTGTCCATCTGGCCAAATGAAGTGGAGTGTGTTGATTGGCAGCATGGATGAAAGCAACATCACTTCTCTATGTTCTCTCCCACTTCTCTCCATTTGTATTTCTGAATAGCCCTAGACAGCAAGATGACTATCATGTGTCTGTGTAAATGGCTGGTTGACCCAGATCTGGCAGGGCTTGTCTTCTGGTGCTAATTTGGAATAGCTCATATATGTCTGTGATTTAAAGACCTCTACCCTACAAGTTGATGACAGCATGGTATCATCTATGTGTGGCAATGTGGGACCCCCCCCGCCCCCCGCCTAGCCACGGTGCTAGGTTCCTCACTTGCCTTTGGGCACGCCCCCCACCTGACTTGCCTGCCATGCCTTGTTCTTAATTAATTAAGATATTATGGAGCCTTGCAGCCAGATGATGTTACTGCCTTCCAAGCCAGCAGGGAACTGAGCCATTTATATAGGCAGCCAGGGATCTAAATGGCTGCCTCAGTCAAGCACCTGCTGGCTGCTTGGCTCTAGTTTTAAAGTGGCAGGCACCCACAGTGCTCTACCACACACCTCCCCCCTTTAAATGGTACCAGGGGAAGTTTTCCCCAGCTGCTGCTCCAAAGCAGGCTCCCCTTGGAGCCTGTGAAAGCCCTCAAGTGGCAAGCACCCCAAAGGTGCTCTGCCACACACCACCCCCCATAGAATGAGATTTGGGGGCTCCGCTTGGCTGCCTTCCCTGCTGGGCTCTGCCCCAGCCTACTGCAGCCCCTGCCACGTGGCGAGCACCCCAAAGGTGCTCCGCCATACTATGATACCAGAAAAAACATAACCGCCACAACTATACTTGGGCAAAGGTGAATAGCAGGTCAAATCCGCTCTCTTGACATCTCTAAGCCTCGACATCTCCAAGCCTCCTAACCTTCACTGTAGCTTGTAACCAGATGATGTTAATGTTATGTTGACAGGTAAGTATACTGTGGTTGTCTGTCAACAAACCCTTGATGTTTTGCTGCATAATTCAAAGTGTCAAGCCAACAGCTTGAAAGATGTATGGTGACACACAGCCTAGTTGTCAGTGGCCGTGACAGAGATTCAGTGAATTTGGTCTCCTGGTTGGCTCATTAGTTTCTCTGGTAGGTACAAGGTACTCATGTGGAGTCCAATGTGAGCATGGATCCAGGTAATTTAAAGCAATAATACTTCCCTATTTTTTGCAGGATGCTCTGTGACAATGTTACAATTACAATCAATTCTACTGGATTTTTTAATAACTTCTCGCTATGTTACCTTCTTTCCCTTATGAGCTGTATTCACTATTTTAATGTTGTGTTTTGTAGTGTCTTAAGTATCATTTCGTCTGTTATTTTTACTCCCTCTCACATTTCTCTCATTACATTCTGTTCTTTACTTATTCTATTAAATAATTCTCTCTCACAAACGTAACACATACTCTTCTCTCTCTGCTTCACCTTACTGTTTCTACCTGCCTTTTCAACATTATACTTTCACTTCTGTTCATTCACATATGGGTGATGGAAATTTTACCAAATAGCGAGTAGTCGGAGGATTAATTTTAGCCAGAACTGATATTAAAATTGAGTGTTCTCAAGTCTGAGAGACAATGTCCAGGTGTGACAAGCCAAATCCAGCTCTCCCCTAAACTGCTGGAAGAGGAGAGCATAAGGTCAATGTTTTTTCGTTCTTTTGCCTCTCCCTTCAGTTATCGTTAGGAGTCTGATAAATATTCTTCTGGTTGCTGAGAAAGAAAGAAAACTGCTTCTTAATCCTCCTAAAATACCTCAGATTGCCCTGCTTGTGGGATGTTTTACATTATTTTCTCCTCCAGTCTTCTAGCTTGTCTAATGGAGTCTGCTACTCTGTTCTTATCTACCCTGTCTTTGTGGGTATGTCTACACTGCAGCGGAAGATGTGAATCTAACTTGAGCAGGCATACTGTTGCTAGCTTTACAAAGTGAAATGGCAGTAGAAATGTTACAACATGAACTGTAATGCAGACTGCTGAAGTGATCTGGGGAGCGCATGTATCTACTTGGATTGTTAGCCCATGTTAGTCCATACAACTGCTGCTTTATTGGTGTTAGCTAGATGAAAGCTAAGATGATTATGCTTACACATGCTTCACTCGAACTTTCAGTTGCAGTATGTATACCTGTTGAGTCCTCTTCTAGAGTGATTGGCTCCACTAGTGCCTCTGCTGCTGGTTATAGTCTTTCTACCTGGCAGTAGAGTGAAATTGAGCAAGGTACTGAATAAAAACAGTGAAAACTGAAAGGACTATTCAGATTTCATCCTAGTGCAACTTGGCAAATCTAGTAGTGGCTGGTTTAAGGAGCTGTCTATCTCTACACACGGAAAACAGTACCACATCATCTTATACATTCAGTTATGTTTTATATTTTCCTTATTTTGCAAGCAATAGGATTTTTGTTGATGCTAGAAGGCCTTGCCAGACAAATGGTTAGTTGTGGTGTCTTTATGGGGTTTGTATCCTCTTTTAATTCTTGCATTTTTCTTGGGTTTTTTTGGGGGGGTGGAGTTTAAATAAAAGAGCCCTCAACATCTTTTCACACACAAGAGATTCTGTTTGAAAACTGAACACACTTCTTTCTGAAAATGTGGTACTTACCATAGTTAAAGTAAGCACTGAGGACTGCCATAAAAAAAGAAAAAAACTTTTCTGCACTAATTATTTACTTTGGACATTTAGGGACACTACACTTACCATCAGTTTTCTCTGTTGTGTACAGTAGGCCTTGATTCTAGAATCACTGACAGATGTGATTAACATGAAACGTAAACTCAGTCTCACTGAGCTTGTGTATAAAGACAGGTAAGTGCATATAAGTTCACAGGATTAGGCTCTAAGGCTGCAGAAATTTATCTGTGAACTTATTGTTACTAGTCCCAATAGAATTAGTGATGGACATGCCTCATAATAGTATCCTTTCTATTAAAGAGGCTGGAGAAATTGAGGTTGAGAAATCATCCTTCCACTTTGAAAACTAATTTGTAAAAAATCCATTGTTTGTTTTTCACTTACAAGAAATATGCTTCATTTACAAGGGAAGAGAAGTTTTTTCTCTTTCTATAACTGCAAACTTTTTTCCCCTTCTCAGCCTCATCAAACACAGGCCAAATTCCAGTTCTAACTCTCATCCTGCAACAAGTTCAGAATAGGTACAGAGTTCATGTTGGACTCAGGACACTAGTTACATCTTTGCAAATACTCTTTTTTTGTCACTAAATTTTACTAATATCACCTGTTTCTTTTAGGACGGTGGTGTCAAACACAACCCCTGGGACAGATCCAGCCCATGGAGCCCCATAATATGGCCCTTGATGTTGTTCCATTGACCCATATGTTGCATTAGCCAGCTCTGTGCTACATGCGGGCCAGGTCCTCGGCTGCGGTGCCCATGGCACCCAGCTGACCTGGTGTCCTGGATTGGCCAGATGAGTGTCACATGCACTGCATTAGCGCAGGCACCATTGATCTGGCCTCTGGGGCCAAGCGAGCTTGCCAGCCCTGTTTTAGGAGCTAGGGGACAGGTGCTACATCAGAAGAAGCATAATACAGCAGAGAAAATACAATGGTAACACCTGTGAAAACTTATTTTGATTCTGAAAACAGGCAGAGGTAAGGAAGAAGGTGCAGCAAAACTGTTACAGGGTCATTTTCAGTGTCGAGCCCAGGCCTGGAACACAATGAATCTTCTCATTTACCACATATCTTGTGGGCTCTAGCAGATGCAGCTTGGCTAAGCAATGGTTAACTTGTTGGGGGGCTAACCCTAGCACTCCCAGAGCCTGCCAGAGGAGCAGGTTTTAATGGTGATCCCTTTCCCTGAGGTTCATTAACATTTTGAAAGTTGTTGGTTGTAGCTGTGTTGGCCTAAGGACACAGGCTGACAAGGTTCTTTGGGGAAAAATTGTTCTTCACAATCTATTGGGCACAAACACCCTTTTTCAGACACAGAGTCTGCTGGTAAACATTTTTAATGAACAGGCCTGACCAGGCTTCTTTTGGCTTCTGAGTCCTTGTCAGAAAAATTAATGTTGATTTTTTTTAAAGAATATATTTGGTGTTCCAGGTCAAATCACCCAAATCAGTTCCAAATCATCTCAACTGAGCAGAACTCAGTCGTTCCAAAAACCGTAATGATTGAGCAGGCAGAACTCAATTGTTCTAAACACCATGTATGGTGCTACAACCAGTGAACATCCTCCATCCCAGGCTCTCACCCTGAGATTTCACATGCTCCCAAACCCATTGGCAGGTGTCCTAGGTGTAGGACCAAGCCCAGGAGGTCTTGGGATTCAGGTGCCCCCAGATACTCCAGACTCTTACATCTGGGACTTCAGATGCTCTCTGGACTTGATCAGAGCCAATGTTGAGTCCTTTGAAACCCAAATGATATTTATTTTCTACCTAAGTGGACTTCTACCATCTCGGATTTTCCCCTCAGCTTCAAGAAGGGTGTGCACACCTGAAAGCGTGCATCATTTTCTTGCTATTTTCTAGTTGGTTTAACAAAAGACCCAAGAGTTTTTTTAGAGTTCTGCATTCCTCTTGGAAACCCAATGGTTTGGCCTACAACTCACCTCCCCCCTCCACAGAGGCATAAAGCTTCACCAGCTTTCCCTTCCCCTCAGCGCCCTGCCCGGCGTGAGGCGGGAGAGGGCACGTGGAACGCGGCCCTCTGTGACGCCACAAAGCACCGCCCCTCCACCCCCCCGGATTGTTGGCGCAGCCAATGGGGAGGCGGAGAGCGCCGGGAAAGCCCGGCCGCGGCCCCTTAGCCTCAGCGCGTGCGCCCGGGGGCCGCGTGGCCACATAAACATGGCAGGGGTAGCCCCACGCCGGCGGCGCTGGGGGTAGGCGCGCTACAGGCTCGGGGAGGGGGCAGGGCGCCGCCGCAGGAGCATGACGCCCGCCCGCTGCTGACTGGAGGCCGGGCAGGCCCCACGTGTGCGCCGCCGCGGAGCCGGCAGGGCATGGATGCCCATGTGCTTTGGCAGCTCCAGCGCTGCCCGCCGCGCCGCCTCTCTCCTCCTTCTCCATGAGCACCTCGGTGCGGGTCATGCCCGCGGGCGACCCGGAGCCGGCGGCCGCTGCGAGCGGGGGGCCATGCTCGCAGCCCGCCCCCGGC